GGGGACACCGGGGCGGGGCCCCCGCCGGGTGCCGCAGTGGTGGTGGTGGCGGTGGTGGCAGTGGCAGGGCGAGCGGGGAGCTCCCGCAGGCGGTGGCGGTGGTAGTAGTTGCAGGTGGTGATGGTGGTGGTGCCGGTGGCGGGGCGAGCGGTGAAAAATAAAGGACATAAAAGCGTCCAGTTTCATATTAGTAGAAGGCCAGAAAACCGGACTGTCCTCTATAAAACCGGACGAATGGCCACCCTAGGCAGAGCTGGCGCGAGCCCAGCACAAGCGGGGGCACCGAGTGCACCTTGTCAGGGGGTTCAGTGCAGAGGCTTGCAGGAGACGGCAGGGGCACCTATGACAACCGGCATCTGTAGGACAGAAATGGCCCTGGCCTTCCCCAAAGCCCCGGAGAGGGTGCGTGTAATACGCAGTTACCCTCGCTAATAAATGCCGTCTGACACCCACCTCTGTACTGTGGGCTGCAGAGAAGCCAGGGGGGACTGTTGTACCTCACATGTGCGCGGCTGAAAGCTAAAGGGATGCCAAGGAGGCCCAGTGCTTAGACACCTGATTTGGATGATTAATAGTAGTCCTAATGGAGTCTATGGGCATTTTACCCTGAAGTCAAACAGGGAAGGCTCAGGGAAGGATGCAAATTCTCTGCTGCTTCACCAGCCCACGAGCCAAGCGCCCCGAAGCAGAACAGGGGAGAATCGGGCCCGTTGCATCGCCGCCAGCATGGGACACGCTCCTCATAGCAGTTTAAGCCCCGATAGCCACTCAAGTAGGGTCTGGTGCCTGAGTGGGCATGCGAGCCTCTTGTGTGCTCATCCCTTCTTCCCAGCACAACTCTGACAAGACAATAAAAACCAATGGAGCAGAAAAGTGCTTTCTCCCCTCGGTCCTCTCTACTTAGCCTCAGCATCTAATCCCTACTAGGAAATGACTCTGCCATTTGGTATCTCCCACGCTTCCCTCCCGGACAAACCGGGCAGGACGCATTCCTCTCCAAAAGTGCTTCAATAAATCATAAGAGTTTACAATCTGGGAGCACTTGTCAGCCTGGCAAGCTCCAAAGCCTGGCAGCAACTCAGCAAACCAAGCGTCTATCACGACAACATCCAACAGGGCACAGGACTCATCCTCAGCAGCTGAGAGAAGGAAGTGGAGAAAAATACTTTCCCTGAAGTGGCATAATTTGGACGAGTGGAATGAAGGCAATGACACGTGGGGACATCCTGTGAGATCATCTCACTCCCCATTCCCAAAGGCCAGTGCACAGGAACCAGACTAGCCACACCAGGACCCAGTCCCACGTCCACCACCCTGCCCCAGGGCTTGGAGAGAACACATCTGGCCAAGAGGGGATGCTCCAGATATTCAGAGCTCCATATTGTGACTCTTCATCAGGGACCATGCACTGGGAGGGCTGGGAGTAAATATTAGGGACTGAAGGATGGATCTGTGACCCAGTGCACATGGTTACGTGTGGTTCTCATCAGGGTGGACTGGTGTCCCACCCCGTGACCTTCCCACGGTGGGAACTGGCTGTGCGCAACGTCCTTTGTACGTCATGTCAAAAGGTGGAAAACATTCAAGGAACCAGGGCATGGAGAGGAGGACATGGGCCTGCGGGGCAGAAGTGGGCGGAAATGGGGTGCCGTTCCACAAAGCAGGGCTGGGGCAGAGAGTTGTCCACATGCTGCTCTGGACACTGCATGCGTTTGCAGCCTTGCTGGACTCAGGCTGGCCAGAGGCTGCCTCTAGCTGACTGGATAGATGGGGACCTGGTCATTGGGACTGAGGAGTCAAGGGGGCTGCGTGGGGTGTGGGTCACCTCCCTGCCTTGCATGCTGTTGGCTCAGCCAGGGTGGGCTGCTTGGTCCAGGGGGACCTTTGGCTTTGACGGAGACCACTCAGAAAACACGGTCCAGTGGACAGACTAGAGCAGGGCAAGGAGGGCTGAGTGGTGAGTTGTGCAAACGGGGGCAGATGCCTGCTCCCCACCTCCGATATCTGCCAGCAATGATGTGCTGGAGATAGAGAGTCCACCATCAGGAACGACTGAAGAGGGATGAAGCAGGGACAGCCACGATGGCAGAGGCAGTTGGCAAAGGCTGAGCAGCCTTTGCGAGGGGAAGCGAGGCTGGCAGGATCCTGTTCATCCACCTGCCCTGGGAAGGGTGCAAGATTGCCCATACACAGAGCAGGTGGCCTGGGGCCGTGGGCAGGTCCCCTGCTCTCAGCAAGCAGCGCGAGGTGTCTCGGACTGGGTCAGCGCACTGGACTGCCAGCTACCGGGGAGGGCAGGGAGAGCCTCAGCCTCTTGATTTTATTTTGTAAGCAACTCTAAATCCTCAGCAATCAGCCTCTCCTTCCCACTGACCCTGGCATGGTGCCCGAGGCCTGGGGCTGGCGTGGGCCTTAAGGAGTTTCGGTCACCGGTTCGGAGCAGGAGTCCCCTCCAGCCTGCACACGTTGGTGCAGTGGAGGGACTGGGGGCTGGCTCGCACGTCACCATGGCTCAACTTGCTTGGGAGGACAAGGAAAAGTGCCGATGCTGTGCCTGCCCTTTGCTGCTTGGTGCTCCTGCCGCGGGCATCCCGGGCATCCCGAATGCCCTGCCAAACCAGCAGCCTCCCCGGCCTTCTCGCTGGATGTGTCTGCTGCTCTGTTCACCGCCTGCTTCTTCAAAAGAGGCGCGCGCACGTGGTCATGAGCTGAGCCAAGCTGTCGGCTTCTGGTGGCACTTCATCCTCTTCAGCAGCTGCCCTGCTCAGACAATGGCCCCATCGCTCTGCCTGAAGTAATTACACGGCAATAAAAGGTTGTTTTATGGATTAATAACATTCTGCAAAGCTGTATTTTAGAAGCGGCTGCTGACTGGATTGGAAAATGCATCAGGACAGGGGTCCTACAGGGACTCTTTCCAACCTATACATAATGGGCCAGGCCCACCCCATGTCACTATTCCCCTCCCAGGTAGCTGGCAACAAAAGGGCTGCTCACAGACAGCATCTGGGCACTGGCCAGCTCCTCTGTGAGGATATAGAGAAAGTGTTTAGTGGTGGTAAATGGGTCTCGGTCCTCCCCCAGTCCTCTCTGAGGCAGGGTGGTCACAACCTAGCACTGAATTTTAGGGTTAACGTAAAGGAAAAGCAGGTCTGATGGCCATATCTATCGGGACACATGAAGCAAAGCCTTCCAAAATCCTCTGTCCCACTGTAGGAAGGTGGAGTGTCTTCAGATCGTCCACCTCGCTGATGAAGAGCATGGAGGGCGCTTTCTAGGATATTGCTCATTTGGATTTATGGGACCTGGAGGGCGCTTTCTAGGATTATTGCTCATTTTGGTTGGGACCTACCGTCGCAAACAGCAAGTGTTCAAGCTGATTGACTTGGAGCAATTTCAGCAGGGGCTTAGATACCAGTATGGTTTCAGGGTGTTAATCCTCAGAAGTATTCAAAGTCAAAGACCAAGCAGACAGCCATGCTCCAAACTGGGGTATGGTTAGAATAGCCCTGGCACCGTGGTGGTTACTTCTTCAGCTGCGGACTTTTCTGCTTATCCAAATCCTGGTTTTGCTCCATCACCGGCCACCTCCGAGATCTCAGATGATTAAACCCAGATCATGGGAACGCAGAACTATGTTCATGACAAACTAAGGAGCCCAAGAACAGAACAAACCTTGATCCGGCCCCCGGGAGGATGTGAGAAAGGGATGGATGTGATGCTTGGCTTTCTCATTAACAAGAGAGGATAAAGGCAGCAGAGGGAGGGAAGGTGAATGGGGAGAGCAGCCTTGCCTCTCTCATATGCAGCGGCTGCAGCTTGGACTAGCCACGTTATGAATTACAATCTCCAGGCAGTCAATAAGCACCGCCCTCCATAAATCAGCTCGGAGATCCTGCGGGACGTGGTGTTGACTGGGATGCCAGAGGAAATTAGAAAGATGAAGTAGGCTGCAGTGCCTCAGCACCCACTTCATTTGCCGAGGAACAGAGCAACTAACCAGTGGCAAATTCATGCGAGGAAATCTGCCTTGTGAGCAGGCAGTGATTTCCTTGCATTTTATTTCCATTCTTCACTTGGATTTGGCGGCATGCTGGGCAACTCTCCTGAGGCCCCACAGATTCCCCTGGAGGGTTTGTTAGGAGCTGGTCCAGCCATCTTGTCCCACTAGGATGAGTCAGATAAGCCTCAAAGGAGCAGCTTTGGGGAGAAAAACCTGGGACGGAGCCTCAGATGCTCCACGGGCCTTTGGAGCCAGCAAGCAGCCTGCACCCCTGCCAGTCTCAGCACAGCTGTCTTGGTGCTTTCCTGGGTGTAGCACTGTATAGATGTGGCTGCCACGTGAGCAGGAAGCTGCTTTCTGAACTTGAAGCTGCATTCCCAGTTACACCTGGCTGCCTCCCTAGCAGACAAAGCAGGAGATAGCAAGCATGATCCAGGGGTTGACTGATCTACCCTTTGTTTTGCAAATCTTGGACTCAAATCCAGTTCCAAGGACTTTGTGGGGGCACAGCCCCAAAGTTTGAGATGGTTGATGGCCTTGGCTCACTTAGGTGGAACAAGGGTCCAACACATCCTGTACTAGGTACACACGCAACAGACTGCCGCTAGCTTTCGACTGGACTGCACGGATGATCGTGGGAGGGGATCACAAAAGGAGGAAGCCAGGGTGGATCCACTGAAAG